TCTCTCTCTCTCTCTCTCTCTCTCTCTCTCTCTCTCTCTCTCTCTCTCTCTCTCCCTTCTCCACCCGGCCTACCTTTAACGAGTGCCGCCCGATCTCCTTGAGGGGATTCCAGCATTCCCGATCCGGTCGCGCCATTCTTCCTCATTACGTCCCCATCCTTATACTTAGGCCGCGCTGCGGTTGGATGCGACGCCTCGATTGGCCCTTCCCGCTCTACTAACGGGGTAGAAGGAACACGTGCCAACTCTGCTGCATGGCCCACACTACGGTCGCTGCCAAATCCATCTCCATCCCGATCGCGCCTGCGATCCCCAACCTCCGGCCGACCCCGATCCCGTTGCCGACCGTCGCGTGCATACTGATCACGAGCCCCCTGATGAGAACCTTCCGCCTGATCCCGATCAGCGGTCCCGATGCCAATCACGGAGTCGCAGATTTCGGCCGACTCGGCGAGTCTTCCGCGAGTCCCGACCGTCTTTTCTGCTGTGCCTTTCAACAAGCCAGAAGCAGGTAGGGATCCAGAAAGAAACGAGGGGGATGCTCCTCCTCCCTTTTCCACTTCTTTCTCTTCCTCCTCCTCCTCCCCCTCCGCCCTCCCCACCCGCACGTGCTGTTCTTCCTCCTCGGCAACGGACAAGAAGTACGGATGGGAGAGAGAGAGGGATATTTGGTCTCCCTCCTCAAGGATGAACTCTTCTCCGCCCCCGATGAAGCGCGCCAAGCTTGCACCTGATTGCGCGCCAATGGACGGGGGGAGGGAGCTTACACCCAGCTCGTTCCCGCCAAAAAAATCGCTTCCCGCCACCGGCCTGGCATAGGCGCGCCCTCGGCGCACTACGCAAATCGGATTGCTCCCCAACACAACCCCTCTTATCCTCCATCGCCGTTTTCTTTCCCCTTCCTCTCTCTCCTCCCCCTCCACCACCACCACCACCTCCCTCTCCCCGTCTTGTCCTGCCTTTCTCACTCGCTTGACACATCTCTCCTCCTCCTCCCTAGACTCCCATCCCCCTTCCACCTCTCGCCGCCGTTTCTTAGCGGCCTCCTCAAAGGTAACCCTCCAATCCCCTCTCTCCCCCTCCCTAACCTGTCTCCCCCCCTCTCCTCCTCCCTCCTCTTGGCCTGATCCTTCGTTCCTCGCATCTTCGTCCCCCTCCACACGTTCGTCCTTCTCTCCTGTGTTCGATGCCCCCCCTTGTCCCTTGGCTATGCCCTGCGAGCACCCTTTAGGACTTAGTCTCCCATCGTCTTCCTTGCAAGTCAACGCTGACTGAACCTCGCGGACCGAGTTCGTTGACCGATCGCCTGCGCCATGGCCGGCCTTCAACTCCTGCTGATTTTCCTCCCAATATAACGCCACGTGGCGCCGCGAGATCGTCCGATCTTTCCCGCCTAGCCCGCCCACAGATCGGCCAATAGTGCTTGACACGTCATCGCCACACGCCCGTGCTATCCTTACCACCTTCTTCCCATCGGGGGATACAAGAACCGCCGGCATTTTGCCACGTGGCAAAACAGCAACCTTTCTTTTTCTTTTCCTTTTTTTTTCTTTTTTCTTTTTTCTTTTTTCATAACAGCGACCTCGAAACTCAGCGCGCCCTGCCTCGTATGATTATAAAGATTAAAAAAAAAAAAAAAAAAAAAAAAGAAACTCAGCGCGCCGAGCCCATTTGGCTTAATGATACACCCAAAAAGACCGCTGTTCGAATCCTGATGTAAACAGATAAGCACATAGCAGTGAATTACCTGGGACATATAAGTAAATACCGCTTAAGTACCACTGATAAGTCAATACCAGTACACTAAGGATCCACTACCCTCTTCACCTGAATACAACTTACGGTCATTATTGCGGTATCTAGACTCGAAATTGGCCCAAATACAGCTAGAATGACCGTGCGTTGTATTCGGGTAACGACAGGTCGTGCGGCACGGTCCCTACCAGTCAGTGATGGAGAACTGTTCCTGGGGCGTGGTCCACTCGTAAAGAGGATCGGATCGAATGCCTGCATCTGGACGTGTTTGTGGACAGGTGCAGGAAATCGAGATTGGACTGCTTTTCTGCATCTCTGCATAAAACCCATCCAGATTCAGGCATTCGATCCGATCCTCTTTGCTAGTGGGACCTCCGCCCTGGCGGTCTCAAGGCCGTTGCCCTTTCACAGCACTCGCAGACTTGAACGGCTTTTTTATTTTTTTCAAAGAAAAAATACTCAGCTCATTTTTGAACGGCTTTCTATCCAGCTGCCCAGCCGTTATTTTCCCATTTCACCTTTTTCACTTCTTTGGGGAAAATTATTTGCGAAATGTCCCCATAAGCTGAGATATATGCCAAAATGTCCCTACAAGATGTGGGTTGAGCGGAATACCCCTCTGACATAAAACTATGTTTCGCGGAATACCCCTGGTGTAGGTTGCACTCCCCAATCTTTGCAAACTACCCCTACCGGGTACTTCCCATCAACTTTTCAAAATGTCCCGGAACTGTCCAACTTTCCCTAGGCCCGTTTTGTTTTCGTCTTACCCCTACCAGCCCAGGTTATCTTTGTGTTTCCCCCCCTTAGCCCTTGGAGACTAACAAGGGCCTTTTCCAGGCCCTTGGAAGCCACTACCAGGCCAAAATGGGAGTTGTGGAGCCAGGACAGTGCTTTCTTGATGTCCCTGCCGCTGTTGGGGAGGGTCTCTGATTTTTTTGTTTTTGTTTTTTTCCCTACTGCTGCCATGTGTGACGAAGTGCAGTTTAGGCAACCTCAACAGCGAAAGCGGCATCGATGTCAGAGGGCATTATGCCACGTGGCAAAACAATCAAAGGGTGAGAAGGAGTCGGCGAAGAGAGAGATCCACCACAGTATCCCACCTACGGTCATGGGGCCGGGGAAAGTGCACAGATGGGCTTCGTCTCTCTGTGACGCCCAAACCTCACACCCAGCGCGACTTCCTGATCGGAGTGGGATGGGGGGCCGGAAGTGCAAAAAAGGGGTGTGCCAAGGATTTTAGGAAAGTGGAGGTGGAGTCCCAGGTCGGAACTGAGATCTCCTGTGGCAAGTTTTAGGGGCAATGGTGCGCACGGATCGTGTCTGGCGTTTCGACCTTCGGGGAAGGGGCTATAGCCTTTGTCAGTGGCGTCGCCGTGGTTTGTCCCTCGTCCGGTGGCTCGACGGGACACCCGGGCGGTCGTGCTGCTGCCGGCGCCACTCGTAACAAGCTTCGGAATCCGCCGGGGCGGACCGTAAGCGGAGGTGGTGCAACCGCTGCGCAGCTTCGGTTCGAGTTCGGCGGATAAATCCCCAAGCTTGGCGTGCTTGGTGCTGCTGGCAGTCTTCGCACGGTGGGCTGGGCCAATAGCGAGCTATGGAATTCCACGGTACCACTGTGAGCTGGTGATAGGGGAGGAGGAGATGAAAGGGAGGAAAACTGGTAGTGATAACGATGAAGCCCGGGGATATGCAGTATTGAGTGTTGTCCGTATCTGGGTAGTCTGGGCCCCTCGGGGCGCGGGTTATAGCCTAGTGGAAATCCCCCGCGCACAGTCGGTCGTTCTCTGTCAGACAGGGGAATTCCGGGTTCCTCAAGTTTCCCCGTCGTTTGAGTTGTTCACCTTCCCAGTACTCGCGGTACTCCGGATCCCTCAGTCTTTCACGATCGGTAATCCAAAAGGGATTTTCCTCCCATATGTGGTTAATGAATTCGATTTCCCTCATCCTTTCGATAAATTCGGGTTCGACTCATGCAGACGCGCACGTACGCTGCGACTTAAATTTCCGAGACGTACGTGAGCGTGTGCCTGAGTGGGTTGCCTGTGTTCGTGAGAACGATCGTATCCGACATGCAACTATCCTACTCATGCTAGGTAGAGTGAGATTCGGATGTTTCATTCATATCCATACCATTCATGTGACGAAAAAGGAGAGAAAAGAGAAAAGAAGGGGGAGGGCGGGGGGGATGACAATCAATATCTCACTGCGTTCTCGACGGCTTTATAACGATCAAGGACTAACAAAAAAAAGAACCCAGACATCTATAGTGGCGCTTTCAACCAGATGCAGATGGAGGACAGAATTAAACAAGCATCGCAAAACAAGATCGGGAATCCGAAAAGGTCGTTAATGAGGAGTTCATATCCATTCATGCATTCATACGAGGCAAAAGCAGCAACGAAAATCCAAGACGATTTACAAGAAAAGGTAAAAAAGGCTGCGACGGAAATCGGCCAGAGCAAAAGCCAAAATTATACAGACGAGCAAAAGAAAGAACCTCATCCCGCACTCACAACTACTCCCTCTCTCTCTCTCTCTCTCTCTGCTCCACACTCCCAATGCGAGCAGTCCGTCGCCTCGCATCAACACATAGTTGTGACCCCGCTTGGTTCGAGCATGCACGCCAGGTTCGCCCGTGCGCCACAATCCATCACGGCCCCGCACGTCAACCCCGCATACCCGACACCAGCTCGTCAGATCGCCCAACTCTCGCACTCACTCACCTTCCAAAACTTGCTTATTAGCCGACCCTCACTAATCGTGCTAACCTCAAAATTCTTAGAGAGACAACTTATTGTGCTTGCGAAATTTATAGCATGCATGCCTGCGCGAAAGGTACAGGATTAAGCCCAGGTGGACAAAAGGAGAAGAGAGGAAGTGCCTATGTCTGCATGGCCAAGCCGCGATGTGGGGGTCGTAGCCACACTCCACGCATCGATCCGGTCATGCAGGCGCTCCGGCCAATTAGAATAGAGTACGTGAGGCGAGGAAGAAAGAGAAGCAGGCAAACACGAGAAAACCAAGAAGGAATAAAAATACAGTTATAATCGCGCCCGCCAAAACGATAGTTATTTTTGGCGCTCGCTAAGGCGCGGCTATCAACCGTTGGTACAGGATCTTCCTGACACCGACCCAACATTCTCAGCAAAAATCCGAAAAGAACGAGGACATCCATGCAATTTGCTCGCCCGACCCATCTTCCCACAGCTCACCCACTCAACCCGTCGTATTTCCTCAAGCAAGCTCCACGCAGAAAGTCGCGCGATTACATAAAATAGTTCGTCACATTCGCCACACAGCACTGTCGAAGTGAAGAACTGACAAATGCAAATCCAAAAGACACAACCCCGCCGGCGTACAGGAGAAGCATTCCTCCATCCCGACCTCAGTCCCCGTCAACAATTTTGGAGAAGAACTCTATGGCTTGGGGGTGGATTGTTTGAAAATGTCGATGTTGCAGGCTGGAGATGCAGCCTCGTTCGAAAGGAGGGGGTGCAACACTTTCCCTGACAACTTGGAAATCCTTTTCTCATCTCGGATGTCGACAGGTGGATTGTTGAAAATGTCGATGTCATCCTTCGGGACATCTGTTAAAATTGGACCGATACAAAGAAGATTAGCATGGCCCCTGCACAAGGCTGACGTGCATAAATCGCAAAATGGTCCAAATTTGTAAGGGAGAAAAAAAAAAAAGTCAATGTTGCAGGCTGGAGATGCAGCCTTGTTCGAAAGGAGGGGCCACAAGACTTTTCCTGACAACTTGGAAATCCTTCTCACATCTCGGATATCGATGGGCTGTGTGGCGAGGAGGAACTGTCGAGAATCACACTCTCTACAGTGGTGTGGCAAGCCTCTCCACGGTTGAAAATGCGATTACCGATAGTTTCTCCACAGCCTGTGGAAATTGGAGATGGGGGAAAATTTTTTGCAAGTTGTCAGAGACTGCTTCTCCAGCCTGCTACTCCGATGCTTTTGACAGTCCGCAGCTGTGCCATCGACTTCTCTTCGAAATTTGGTGAGTGGGCGCGAGGTTGGGATGGACTACCAATGCTTGTGGTACCCTCAGGCCGGTTGGTCTTTTCCCATCTTGCATCCACAAGTGCGTTCATTCTACAGTGCTGTGTGGCTAGAGGGGGACAAACTGTCAAGGGAGACTGTCGAATTTATTCTGACAGCCGCCAAATGTTTTAGCCTTTCGTGGCGAGCACAGGCTTTCGAAACCAGGTTTTCAACAATTTTGCATCGCCGCACAGACTTTCGAAGAATTGCGGCTCAAAAAATTTCAACAGGTGTCAGTCAGAATGGTACACTCGACAGCCACCCTTCCCCTTACGTTTCCTCCCGCCTCCCTCCTGCAGGAGACGGAAATTCGAAAGTGCCCCACCCTCCTGCCTTTCGAGAATTGCGTTCAAATTTCCATCGTGTCAGGGACTGTTCCGTTCCGTGACGGTCGTGCCCTGTGGAAAGTCCGAGTCCATTTGGCCAGGACCAAAAACCAACCTCGCCCCTCGACAGCCTGTGTGGCGAAGGGGGGGTGAACTGTCGATCGCCGACTTTCAATTTTGTTCTGACAGCTGTAGAAACTCAAAATTCCAAATGCCTGTGTGGCCAGCCTCTGAGAGCCTTGCCCAAAACTGAATGTGCAAAAAGAGACATTGAGAGTGAATTTTCCACTTAATATACAGGGAAAAGAAAAATTCCCCCGCCATACGTTTTGTCTGTGGTGTGGTGCATTTCTGAGTGGCGTGCATTTGGTGAGAGCCGTGTGGAGGTCCTTAGTACAGAGCACTGCCCAAAACTGAGTACATCCAAAGATTCTGAAC